AGGACGACGATTAGAACCGCCGTCCTCGCACAACTGCTTCAGCGACTCACCAGCTTGGAGTAAGGACTCCAAACATTGCGGAATGGCGATGCAGGAACTTCTTCCCAACCCTCTTAATCGGCCTCGAACGGCCACAATGCCGCCCCGCACACCTTCTTCCTCGACACAAATGGCTCAACCCCCAAGACTCCTCGTCCCAGCGAAGAAGCAATTCTCTCTGCGCAATCATGAATATTTCTCTGACAGCAGGGGGTCATCTTGGAGGCCGCCCTATGCGCCGCCCTTCTCGTCGAACAACGAGATATGGACCAGCAGCGACCAGCGCCGCGACGAGAACGGGAACGCCTCGCCTTCTACGCCGACAACACAGAAGAGCGACGGCTGCGGCGCCTTTACTGCAAGGTTTGCAGAAACTTCGGGCACATGACAGATCGATGCAAATCCCGATCTCGCCCTCGCTAGACCAGCCCAGGCACTTGGTCTGGCCAACAAGACGCACGGAACGACTCTCGTCCAGCCCAGGGGTATCAACCCCCTTCGCGCAACCTGAACCCAACGGTTCAGCATCCACAGCAGCACCCGCCACAGCCGGCTCCCGTCCGCAATGTCATCGGGAACATGACAATGACGAGCGGGTCGCGTCGTCCCCGTGCACACTCACCGTCACCTGAGCCAGCACCTCACCCAATCGACGCGTTCTTGAACAACAACACATTCAGCACGCGTCACGATTTCAGCGACGACGACAACCAAGACTGGAACCTCCCAGTCCCGCTGCTTGAGAGCCCCCCGCATGTACCTGATACACGGGCGGCACCGATCAATTGGATCGGGCGCAAGCAGTTCCTAAAGTTTGACACACCGCACATCGTTACTCCGCAACTGGCGCTGCTCGCACGTAACGACAACAGGCGCTACAGCACGTGGTACCTAGATAGCTGCTATGGGCAGCACATGGTGGGCTCCGAGCATTACATATCCAACGCCATTGCCACCCCTACCATCACCTACGTCACCGTGGCGAACAACACGCGCTTGCGCGCAAGCGCGCAAGGCATCGTTGTGCTCAAGGCTCGAGGGAGCAGGATACACATCACGCTAAAGGACGTGCTAATCGTGCAGAATCTGCGCTTCAATCTCCTCTTGGCGGCGCAACTCATGGACTGCAAAGTTGACCTCAGAGTGACCCCGGGTTGCGCGACATCTTGCTTCACTATACGATGTCAAACAACACACGCAAGCAGATCGGAAGAGCACACTCAGAGAACGGAGTCTACGTTCTTGACTTTGATATTCCCGACTGTAGCGGTAATTCACAGGAGCTTATCGATCTCGTCCCCCTGCGCTTCAAACACATTCATCACCGCGACTGGAAGCACCCAGACGGAAGACCGTGGGTGCCGCATCATCCACATCCACGTAAGCTGGCGCTGCATGATCCCAATCCCGACGGCATCTGCATAGACTGCCGTACGCCCACCTCCTCATCGAGTACGATTGGCGACCGTGGACTCGCCGCCATCGCAGAAGCAGAGCGGGAAGCACCACCTGAGGAAGGACTATCTCAGTTGGAGTTGGACACCGCCACGCTGGTCGTCTTCGGAACGCCGGAACATCCCCTCCCCGGACCCGCATCACAACATCTGCAAATCATGCTGCGGGGCGTCGGCGTCGGCACCTTCGACGTAGACGGATTCCCGTGACCCTACACAAAGGAAAAGTTCATGAAGATCTACCCCCACTGGCACGATCCCACGGCGAAACTCACCATCACGGAAGTAGAAGAATTGGCGCGTCGCCAAGCGGAAGAGCTTCGTCAACGGAGTCTTGCGGAATCACGCGGAACATTCGCCTCGAGCGGATGGGGCAAAGACGAGAGTGCCTCCAACGAAGGGGGGTGGGGAAGCGCTGGCGGATGGGGCACTGTCAAGAGAATGAACGAGGAATAAAATGACTAACAACAGGATGGGTACAAGTGCTAACCCTAATTGGGTTGTACCCCATATGGGCTACCCCACTATAGCCTACACAATGAGCAACATTAAGTTTGACACACCCCCATAGGCAAAGTGGGGGAGAACAAGAGGTCACAAGACCGGTCAAGAAAAGCAAAGCAAGCTCAGGGTGGATCACAAAGTCACCATGCAGTATGAGCACAAGCAAATGGCCACAAAACCAGTTCATATGCAGAGTTATATATGTATTGGAGAACAAGCAATACAGAGATCACAACCTAGCAAGTGTAAACATGCAGGTATATGTATATAGATCACAGTACAAGCAGAGTCAAGAAGTGAGCAAGTGAGGCAAAGTAGGCACAAGGCCTAGAACAGTACAGAAACGCTGATGATCACAAGGCTGAAGTGCCTTGGTGAAGATATCAGCAGTGTTGGCCTGAGAGGCCACGTAAACAAGACGAAGCTAACCACGCTGCAGCAACTCTCAAGCAAGGAAGTAGTGCAGAGCGATGTGCTTGGTTCTGTGCTCTAGTCTGTGCTCCTGACACAAGGCAATCATGGCCTTGTTGTCGATGTACAGAACTGGAGAAGAACGAGGTGGCTCTCCCAAGTTGGTCAGCAGGTAGGTGAGCCAGCATAACTCCTGTGCAGCCATGGCCCCTGCGTAGATCTCAGCCTCACAACTGGAGCTGAGAACAAAAGACGAGCGGGTAGACCGCCACGAGATAGAACCGGAGCCAAGGCTGAAGGTGTAACCCTGTGACTACCGCTGCGTAGCCAAGTCGTCAACCCAAGAAGCGTCTGCATGACCAGTGAGGACAACTCGAGCCCGTCCTCCAAGCACGAGCCACATGCCCGACGTACTGCACAAGTAGCGCATCACCCTCTTAGCGGCCTTCCAGTGCTCTGGTCGGTGTCTCCCGGGCGCAATGTAGCGTGCCAGGGTGCTAAGAGGGTAAGCAAGGTCAGGTCGAGTGCAGGTCATCACGTACATGAGGCAGCCCACAAGCTCTGGATATGGGCCACTCGGCTCTACGGACTCATCCAAAGGCAGAGCTGAGAGCGAGTGACCGGGTAGGCAGAGGAGTGGATTGTGGTGAGGAGTACTGGAAGTCGAAGCGCCGAAGAACCTGCTGCACCATGTGAGACTGAGTCAAGGTAATGGTGCGATGTGCTCTGTCCCGAATGATCTGCAAGCCAAGATAGCTGCGCAGCTCACCCAGGTCTGTGCACGTGTGTCTCTTCTGCAGCTCCGACTTCACGTGGGCCAGTCCAACAGTGGCAAAGACCAAGTCGTCGACATACACGAGGATGTAGAACGGCAGCAGCGATGTGTCGGTGCGTAGAAACAGCGACGGGTTAGCAGTGGAAGGTGCAAACCCAAGAGCCGCAAGCGTAGTCCTCAGTGTGTCGTGCCACTCTCGAGGCGCCTGGCGGAGACCGTACACTGGCCGCCGGAGGCTTCACCGGGTACCTGCAGGAGAGGACCCAGTAAAGCCAGGTGGGCGGTGCAGCCAGTTCTCCTCGTGCAGGCTGCCCTCTAGGAAAGCAGTGCAGAAGTCAAGAGAGTGAAGCTCGTAGTCACGCTGAGCGACGACGTGCAGCAGCACCCGAAGAGTGGTCATCTTTGGGGTAGGGGAGAAGGTCTAGAAGAAGTCAACTCCATGTCGCTGACTGAAGCCTCGTGCAACAGAACGTGCCTTGAAGACAGGCGGAGAACCCGGCGGCCGCTTCACCCTGAAAAACCGCATGCCACTGACGATGTTCGCCCCAAGTGGGGGAACCTCGTCAATGTAAGTGCCTGTGGACTTCCAGGATGCCATCTCTGCGTCCATGGCTTACTGCCAATGAGAGGAGTAGGGACCCTCAATCGCCTCTGCGTAAAAGCGCGGGGTCGGGATGTCTGGTGCATCCGGGTCTCCCTCAGGTGCAATCAGCATGGACACGAGATGAGGTACAGTAGCTGCAAAGACGTCCGTGCCAAGAGCACACTCACCCCCGACGGACGGAGGACAGTCAAAGTCTGACTCAGCAACAAGACTAGCGGCGTAGTTAAGACGACAACGAGCAGCATGTCAGTAGATCTGCACTGTGGATGCCCGATTGATCCTGGAGAGGGTTACTGGCGCATTTGCCTGGGGGGTTATGGGCGCACTGATCCGCTACAGAAACAAGCCCTTTTATCCCAATGGTCTAGTGGTTGGGATTCTGACATGGTATCAGAGCGGTCTCGGGTTCGATTCCCGGTGTATGCACATGTAGGCCGTTGCCGCTGTGCTTAGTCCTGGGCCTCCCAGTGTGGGGGGGTGTCAGTAGATCTGCATTGTGGATGCCCGATTGATCCTGGAGAGGGTTACAAGCGCGTTCGCCTGGGGGGTTATGGGCGCACTGACCTGCTACTGAAACAAGCCCTTTTATCCCAATGGTCTAGTGGTTGGGATTCTGACACAGCAAAGTCAACCAGCTCAGCAACAAGAGCAGACGCAGCTGTAGACTCAAACGAAGGGTCAGTGACAACAGTGGCCAGTAGTGTTGGTGTGGGCTAGAGCTCGCTCTGGTCTTTATTTTGGTGTTCTTATATTATATCTCCATGCTTAGAGAACTTACGCATTCAGGTTCATTTTAGGTTGATTTCGTAGTTCTTAGTACAAACCGAACACACCCTAGGTTCAATTAGGGTTTCCAACCCTTTCTCTTTTGTATCTCGACGTTTTTCTTCCTAGAGTAACTTTCCGACCCAACCTAACTCTCTCGCCATCCATGGCTCCTCTCATCTTAACATGGTATTCAGAGCGTAGTCCTAGGCGTTTCATATTCCTCCGCATTTCTTAGATAATCTCCGGCCCTTAGGCCATTTTCCGCGCTACTTAGCTAGACGACTTTTTTTTTCCCTTTCCTCTCGTTTCTGTCCCGCCACTCTTAGCGTCCGCGCGGTTCTCTTCGTTATACTCGCTCGGGTGCCCTAATCTAGTCCGAAGCTCGCCTCCCTACCGTTCAGATCATCCGCCCGCACCTTCCCTCTTCCTCCTCCTCACATTTCGGATGGTAGCACGCCGAATTCCGCCTGTAGTACACTCAGCCGTCCCCTCCCCCCTCACTGTCTCGTCGCACACGCATTGCGCTCCTGCCGCCGCGCGCGCTAAGCACCGTCCAGCAGCGCACGTGCCTGCCCTTCCTTGCGGCGCGCTCTGCCCTTCCTCAATCCGCCCCTTCCCTCACCCTCCTCCTCCTTCCCTCTCTCCTTTGTGCTTCCCCCAATACCTCACCTCTTCCTCCTCCTATTTTCTCTCCCCATCTGCTGCGGCTCGTAGCTCCTTGTGGCGCGCCCTGCCCTTCCCACAATCCGCCCCTTCACCCTCCTCCTCCCCTCTCTCCCACTAGTTCCCTCTCCACTATCTCACCCCTCCTCCACCTCTTTTCTCTCTTCATCTGCTGCAGCTGGTAGCTAGTTGTGTTGTGTAGCTATTGTTCCTCCACACCTTCCCTCCTCCTCAACATCCTCCTCTCAACTGCTCAACTGCACACTCTTCCCAATTCTCCCTCCTCCTCTTGTTTCTCCCTTGAGCGGCACAGCAGCAGACTACTCCGCCATTTTCCCTCCTCCTCTGGTTTCTCCCCTCATCGGCGCAGCAGCAGACTACTCCGCCATTTTCCCTCCTCCTCTGGTTTCTCCCCTCATCGGCGCAGCAGCAGACTACTTCGCCATTTTCCCTCCTCCTCTGGTTTCTCCCCGCATCGGCTCAGCAGCAGACTACTCCGCCACTTTCCCTCCTCCTCTTGTTTCTCCCCTCAGCGGCTCAGCAGCAGACTACCCCACCCTTATTCCTCCGCCTCTTATACCTCTCCCCATATCTGCTCTGCAGCTGTTTCCTCCTCCTCATGGCGACCTCTCTCGCCCTCCCCTCCCTCCCTCTACTGGTCCTTCAGCTTGCGCCCGATGGTAGTGCAGTCAACTTCCCCAGTTGGCTGAACTGTCTTGAGCGTACGCTGTCTGGCACCCTTGTGAGTGGCTCTAACCTATGGTTTGTCACTCAGCAGAGTGGTTATGGCGCCATTCCCACCTCTCCCTCTGGACCCACCTCTTCCTCCTCTGACCCCTATGCTGATGGCCTCCATGCTGCCATTGCTGAAACTGAGCGGCTTGTGACCACGGCGCAAGCCACCGCCACGGCTGCTCCTAACAATGCTGCTGCCCGTGACTTAGCTTGTATTCTTGCTGAGTCTCTCGAGAGCACCCGCAAGCGCCTCACTGAGCACCTCGCTGCCCCTTCTCCTCGCTTTGCGTCTACGCCCATTTCCTCTGCTCCATCTCACTATGACCTTCTCGCTGACTGGCATGTTGCCAACGCACGTGCCTGTCAGGTCATCGTTGCCTGCCTCCCTCCAACTCTTCTCCCTCAGTGCTCGCACATCCGCTATGCCAAGGACCTTCTCAGCTATCTTACCGAGCGCTTCCAGTCGCTGACTCCTATCAGTGTCATTGCCCTCTTACGCGAGCTCACCTCTCTTCGTCTTGCTGACTTCACCACCATGGCGGACTACATCGCTCGTGTGCAGACGCTGTCCTCCCAACTTGCCTCTCAAAAGTTTGAACTTTCCGATCATGTGTGCGGTGCCCTCCTCATCACTGGCCTCACTCCTGAATACAGTGTTCATGTCACTCTGTATGGTGAGCACCCTACCGACCAGTGGTCGTTCTCTCGTGTCTCTGCCTTCCTCCTCCAGGCAGAGCTCAACCTCCGCAGCTGCCCTCCTACTGCCGCCGCTGTCACACCCTCTTCCGCCCCCCCCTCTCTCCCCACCTCCACTGCCGCCGCTGCTTCCTCTCGCCCTCGCAACACCTTTCCTCCTTGCACCTACATCATTCGCCACGGGCCCCGCAAGGGTCAGCCCTGCGGTCGCACCAATCATCCCGCCTCCTCCTGCTTCCAGTATCTCACCGATGACTGGTTCCTGGCTGGCAACACTGGTCGCCCTCCCAATTGGCTTCAACTCTCTCGTCAGCGTCGCCAGTCTTCTGCCTAGGCGGTACTTGTGGCTGCCAACTCTGGTACCAGTGCTCAAACCTCTGCTCTCAGTGTGACTATGCCTAGTCAGGATAGCATTTTGGGGGCTTCTCCCCTTATGGACCCTCGCTTTGCCATGATTTTTGCTCCTTCTGTTAATGGCAATGATTCTCAGTATCTTTGTCCCACAGTTGCTGCTCTTTCTCTCCCTCACACTCTTGAGTTTGTTCTTGACAGTGGTGCCACTGACTCTGTTTTTCGTGACGCTAGTGTGCTTCGCTCTTTTCCCCATCCCCTCTCCATTCAAGAAGCTGGGGATACCATGACCATGACTTGCACTGCTACCTCCTCTCTTCCCTGTCCTCCCTCCCCCTCTGGTGCTGTGACTGGTGTCGGAAATTACCTCACCTCTCCTCCCCTCGCCATGTTCCCCTCTTACTCCTCCTCCAGTGCTCTTCACTCTTGTCCGGCCAACCCCCCCCTTGTCTCTTACTCCACCTCCTCTGCCTGTGACCCCTGCTTGCTTCCATCTTAGCTCCTGTTTCTTCTTGCTTGTTGCTGCATCTTCTTACTTCTGTGCTCGGTCCTTCTTATGTGCAGTTACACCTACGCTAAGCTAACCGTGCTTACTAACCGTGCTTACTCACATCTACGCAATAAACCTACTTACATCTTCATCAGCAATCACCTACGTTTGTTATGGCCTGTCAAATCCTTCACGCGATTCTTGGTGCAATCACATGAGTAAAACAAAACATACAAACAATGCAGAGAACTATGCCGTACCCCCTTATATCCTAGCCTGCGTCCTCCCCCCCCCCTTACTGCTACTCCAAAGAAACCCTTCAAAGGGATGACTTCCGCCGTAGTGAAAGAACAATTTCCCCCTCCTCTCTCCACCACCACTTAGCCGCCCACTGCTTGACCTCCAGCTCGTGCCTGCAAATCCAGCTCGCTCGGGCATTCGTCCTGCAAGAAAGCAAACATGCATACAGCACACGAAACAAAAGAGCTCCCTCCAGCTGTCCCCGCACCATCTCCCCATGTGTCTATTGGCTGACTCGGCAGCCCAATATCGCCCATCCACCACACCAGCCTCGGTCCCAGTCCCCGATACCTCTTCACTCGACAACCTGTACAAATATACAGTATATACACATTCTCCGTACTCGTAACCTTATCTGCCTCCTGATATTGCGACAGCTGTCGGAAATTCCCTCACCTCTCCTCCCCTCGCCATGTTCCCCTCTTACTCCTCCTCCAGTGCTCTTCACTCTTGTCCGGCCAACCCCCCCCTTGTCTCTTACTCCACCTCCTCTGCCTGTGACCCCTGCTTGCTTCCATCTTAGCTCCTGTTTCTTCTTGCTTGTTGCTGCATCTTCTTACTTCTGTGCTCGGTCCTTCTGATGTGCAGTTACACCTTGCCCCCTCCCGTGACACTGCGCCGCCCTCGCCCTGGTCACGGGACCTTGATACCCTGCTGCCACTCCGCCGGCCCTGGCCACATTAGTAACATGATCCACCGCGCGCACTCCAGCCTCACTCTCTAGCACCAGCACTCCTGACTCTCTCACCTCCCTAACCGTCCACCGCTGATGTGACAGCCCCACGTCCAGCCCATCCTTCTTAGGACGTCTGATATACACCTCTTGGCCCTGTTGCAGTGCTTGTGGTGCTCCGCTGGCCCTCTGCTCCTGCCGCTGGCGGTAGCGGTGAATGTCCCTCAGCTGAGCCACATGTAAACTCTCCAGCGCCGCCGGCAACAGCCGCCGCAGGTACTCCCCTCGCACCGCCGCCAAAGCTGCCCACTTCTCTGCGGTGCCTGCTGTAACCACGTCTGTCAGCACCCGCGGTGCTCCCACGGGTAGGACCGCTTCCCTGCCGAAAAGGAGATGGTATGGTGATAAATCCTTTAGGGCGGCCTGCTTGCTAAACCTGTAGCCCGCCATGATCCAGTGGAGGTGCCTGTCCCAGTCACGCTTCCTCGTCTCCCCATAGGCCCGAAGTCCTCGCTTCAGAGTCTGGATGAGCCTCTCAGTCAGGCCGTCGCTCTGCGGATGATACCTGGACGTGGTGCGATGCGGAATCAGGCACGACGCCAACACCTCTTCGAACTCTCCTTGGAACTCGGTGCCTTGGTCCGTCAGTACTTCCCCACATGCCCCGAAGCGTGTCAGCACTTGTTCTTCAAAGGCATCCGCCACAGCCTCCGCCGTCTTGTGGCTCACAGCGCGCACCTCGACCCACTTGCTCACGTGCTCAATCATCACAACCACATATCGGCGTCCTCGCTTGGTGAGAGGCAGTTCTCCTGCAAGATCTAAGGACCACCGATAGCCCAGCCCCACGATCGGCAGAGGCTGTAGCTCCGCCTTGCTCCTCTCGAATGCCGCCCGGTTTCGAATGCACGCCGGACACTTGGCGACCCAGTCCTTGATCTCTTTCCTCATCCCTTCCCACAACCATCCCGTCTGCAGCAGCTGCTGCGTGCGGAGCGGGCCAAAATGCCCCAGCTTGTTATGCACTTCCTGTATCACTCCCTCCCGCTCCTTCGGCTCAGGCACCCTCTTCCAGCCGTCTTGCGTCCTGATCTGCACCTGATCCTGGTACCAGCGGTAGTGTTGCCCCCTGCTCCTGGCCCTGGCTGACACCTGCGCTCCCTCTGAGGTCGCCCCCTTCAGCCATGCAAGTGTTTCCGGGTCTTCCCAGATGTCTGCTGCTCCTGCTTGCTGTTCTTGGCGCAACGTCGTCACTGGATCTGCCACTAGTACCGCCAAGGCCACTTCTGGCGCCGCCGCCGGCGGGTTCCTGGATAAGCCGTCCACATGCTGCATAGTCTTCCCTGGACGGTGTCGGATGGTAAACTGATACTCTTGCAGCTTCATGGCCCACCTGGCATTCCGTCCCGTGAGACTTTGGTTCTGCATTAGCCATAGCAGCGGCTGGTGATCTGTCACTAGCGTGAAAGGTCTGCCTTGCAGATACACTCGGAAGTGTCCCACAGCCCATACCGCCGCCAGCCCCTCGCCCTCGTATGATGAGTAGTTTGCCTCAGCTGGGTTACAGGAACGACTGGCAAAAGCCACCACCTTCTCCTCCCCGCCCTCCTGCTGGCTGAGAATGGCTCCCATGCCCGTACTACTCCAGTCCGTGTACAGCACGAATGGTAAGTCCGCCCTTGGCAGCTGCAGCACCGCGCCATTCTTGACAGCTCCCATCAAGTCCTTCAGCGCCTCCTTCTGCTGCTCACCCCATTGCCACTTCGTATCGTCCTTGAGTAGCTTGTTCAAAGGTGCCGCCCTCCTGCTGAAGTTCTCCACAAACTTGCGATAGTAGCTTAGGAACCCCAGCAGGGCCCTTAGCGAGCTCTTATCCTTGGGCTGCGTCACCTGGTCCAGGATAGCCACCTTTGCTTGCTGTATCGCCAGTCTGCCCCCTGTTACTTCAAATCCCAAGTAGGTCACCGTCGTGTGTCCGAAGTGGCACTTCTTTGGGTGGCAGGTGAGTCCCGCCTCCTTGATCCTCCGCAGTACCTCAGCCAGTCGCTGCACATGTTCTTCTGGGGTAGCGCTGAACACTATGACATCGTCAATGTAGCACAGGGCCCCAGTCATTCCCCGTAGGACCGCATCCATCACTTTCTGAAACAGCAGTGAGGCGTTCTTCAGCCCGAAGGGCATCCTGTTCCACTCGTACGCCCCGTCAGGGCCGTGGAAGGCAGTCTTGGCTTTGTCGGTCTCCGCGATAGGGATCTGATTGAACCCTTGCCTCATGTCCAGCGTCGAGAACAGCCGTGCCTCCGCCAGTTGGTCGAACAGCTCATCCACCATGGGTGTCGAATATCTCTCTGGGACTGTCACCTTGTTTAGGTCTCGATAGTCACCGCACATCCGGCGTGCTAACACCGTCCCCGTGAGATCCATCCTTGCCGCTACCACCGTTGCTGCTGCATACTTCGACTCGGAGCGACGTATGAGCCCTGCCTCCAGCAATTCCAGGCACTTTTCCTTGCATATTTCCAAGTCCTGCGGGCTCATCCGGCGCCTCCTCTGGTAGACTGGCACCGTCGTGGTTAGCTCGAGTGTCATAACTGCACAGTTGCAGCATCCCAATTCCTTGAGCGAATAGGCGAACGTCTCTCGATGTGACGCCAGTAGCTCTTCCACTGCTTGCCGGTGCTCCCCTTGCAGCCCGGGACCCAAGTCCCAGGTGCTCTGGTCTCCTTCCACTCTCACTGCCTCTTCCGCCACTCTTTCGGAGGTCCCTTCTCCTTCTGGGGTCTGCGGAACTTCTTCATTTGTTGCTGCTTCCCGCGCCATGTAGGCTCGCTCTACAGGTGGCCAGTCCGGTGGGTCGTAGTAGTCGTAGAATTCGTCTCCCATGTCGAAGTCTGAGTCATGAAATTCCTCAGGCGTGTCCCCTCTTCCCAACCCGGATTCTTCTTCCATTTCTTCATCCGCCTCAACCTCCTCCTCCTCCTCGCTCTCTTGAGGGTCGGCATACCTTCCTGGTATGGCTTCCCGGTCATCTCTCCAGCTGGCCCTCCTGTGCTCCTCCGGGACCCCCCTCCACCATTGGTTTTCTTCCTTCTCTTCCAGTCCTTCCAGCATCGTCCATGCTTCCGTCTCCTTGTTTGCCGCCAGCAACGTCTGGGGCCTGATAGCAGTCGCCTTGCCGATACGCCTCTCCAGCCACTTCCGTTCGAGATGGTTGGCCATGGTCATGAACAACCATTGCAGCGCGTTCAAATCCATGACCCGGCCCAGAGCCTCCTTCCTCTCCTTCTCGGTCATTTGTTCACAAGCTATTGCGTTTGCCAGGATTCCCATGGCCAGCTCCCTCTCTTGAGCCGTAGGCTCTTCCCATACTCCACGTGCCTGATCGTATACCATGCCCGGATCTTCCCCCTTTCTGAAGCCCCTTGCGTTCTCGTACGACACCAGCGTCGGCCATGCCTCTCTTGGTTCCCCCACTTTGTTACAGGGGTATAGCGTGGGGTGATCTGCTTCCTTCACCGGC